AATATCGACTATATACATATTATTAAGACGTGTTGAGTTATTATGAATTACTAAGCATTGAAACAAGGTGTACACAAACCAAGTAGTAAGATCAAGACAAACAATCGCTTCACAATAAGTAAAGTGACCAATAAATATGATACTCTACAGGTACATTGGAAGTGAAGGTGTAACACATGGTCTTACAAGCGTGTAACAAAAGCGATCAAGAAAACAACCAGCGTCCTGGAACAAAGAAGTAGTAGGGAAACAACACTGTACAGACAATCTGTTACAGGACCGCACTACAAAAAGGTGAGGTCAACAGGACCGAACTTCCCCAAGTGATGTCACCAGGATCGAACTTCCCCAAGTGACGTCACCAAGACCGAACATCTCATTGAGATCATACGTGAGAAACTAGCTTCTCATAGACGGAAAAAGCACGAGTAAGTCCACACGTGACGAACTAAGCTCGACTAACAAACACCGTTTTCATTTAGCATCTAGGGACCAGATTATCAAAAAGCCAATCCAATCCCCAAGTATTGGAATTAAGATTGGAATATTTCTGATATTAGAGTCATCATAAATAGTAGCGGTAGGACCGGTAAGATATACCGGGACTCCCACGTGTGAGAGAAACACTCAAGTAAATCCTGAGTCTAGTGAAAACACAAATAAAGACTCAGTTCGGTTCTCTCAGACTATGGACTATCCTAGCTAAGATTACAGTACTTAAGAATAGGTCTTTTGTATCCTTTATCGTGTATCTTTCAGCTACTCTCCATACTCTACATTTTTTACAATATTCTTACTAAGATAAGTCAAGTATAGGCGTTCACCATAGAAGAAAGAAACAAGAAGTGCACCCAAGAATTTATATTTTATTGCCTGAAGAACTAAAGAAGGTCAACAAAAGGCAACAGGCTGTTGACGCAATGGCGAGAGTGGCAGCGAGGAACAGGACTCTGCGACAAGGAGAGGCTGGTACTTGCGATAATACAAGAAGAGGGATAAAGACGAAGTGTCAAGAGTCCCTAGACGTACAAAGGGATAAGGAAGAGGTCACAAGATTACCAGCATAACCCTAGAGACTGACAGGTAAATTACCAGTGTTTTGGAAGTGTATAGAGTATAGCAGCATACACAAGTGTCAAGGTGGTAAGTTATAAATGATGGGGAGGGCCAGAAGTGTAAAATCATTGTGAGGTGTCAAGGTGATTTTCGCGCAAGACAATCTATTACTAACTCAATTCTCAGACACAAGCTAGTACTAGGTGGCAATTCGGTATTTGCTATACACAAGGCAATACGCAAAGGAAAAGGAAGCGACAATAGGACAGTGCAACGAGAAGGACAACACAACAACACATAACACACACACCTACTCGTGTGAACTATACACTCAACTTGAAGGAACAAACACGCATTCAATGTCTACAAATTATGAACATATTCCCATATCGGCAATTTAGGCTAATCCAATAGAACACGCACCCATACACAATCCATGTGGGCACACAACACAAGATTTAGCATAACATTTAAAGAAATAGAAGAAATCGCTAAGAACTCACACAAAAATCTGATCAAAAGGATCAATCTCATAGACACTGCAAATCACAGACACTGCAAATCACGGCACGTCACAAAGGCATGTCACAAAGAGGGCAGACTAAAGAGCAACACTAGTAAAGAACATCCCTAGTAGCAAAATAAGAGAGCTGCCCACTACAAATATAACATACACAGAGTGCAACTGATAGGAGCATACTTAAAGAGCATCAAAATATAAATCTAGCTTTCACAAGTAAATGTTCTCACAAAAGTACGATCGAATGCGGTGAGCATACGAATACTTCGTATAGAGACGGGTTTGCAACAAACTCAAGAAGCATTTACATATGAATCTAGCTTTCAAAAGTAATTGGCCTTCTAAGAATACGATTGAATGTGATGAGCATCCAAAAACATCGTAAGGACAGGTCTTAACTAACAAAAGAAAAAATCACAAGATAGCATCTATTACTAACTCTTCAAGAACAGAGAGTCCACAATATGACTCATAACGCACATATAATACACTTGCTATATGAAGCTGCAAGCACAAACTAGCATACAAGGAAGCCAACGTTCATCGCGATAGCTTGCACAAGCATTCAAATCGCAGCGATTGATACTATCTATTGATATTATATTATATACACACATATACTACAATATAACAATATCAAGATTAAACACAAGACAAGAAAGCACGAGTTAGATCTGTATAGCAATTACTAGACAAGTGATAATAAACATACGGAATCGACAAAGAACACAGAGAAGTGACCGACACAGACTAAAATCATATCTGGCATAATCAATGCCACACAAAGATCAATAAAAGGAAGAAGTCTAAGTCAAAAAAGTGCTCAAGAGTAATTATCATTGTCAAGATATTCACACGTATACATCAAGAACGTTAGCAATGATAAGACATGATTACTACGCACAGTATTAACAGTATCGAAACGCTACACACGATAGTACATCGAAAAGTAGGGATAACAGTAATGTCAGAAACCATTACATACACAGACATCCTACAACAGAAACAGAACAAAAACAAGGTACTATATAAGCACAAGACCTAGACAACAGAGATCCAATACATGGAATCGAATGTCACAACAAGGTTGATGACCCACAACAAATGCAATTCGCACACATAAGATTCAGACCAAAGCAATCACGCAGGACACACATAAGCCTCGCACATAGGTGATGCATGCACGGTAGAACTTCATAATAATGAAGAAGAATATCCCATCACACACACACTTTGTGTAGACGTCAAGTACACAGAAATATAAGACATACAGCGTGACACTGACACAGATACACACGAGCAGTGATATATCAGAACAGAGCCATAAGTTGGGTCAAACTGAAGTGAAAAAACAAAACAGGATATATCCGACAAAGTATAGTCCATACAAAACAGGATATATCCGACAGAGCCACAGTTCGATACAAGAATCATAAAGCTCGGTTCGAGACCGAACATCAAGAGGTGACGTCAACAGGACCGAACTTCTTCGGTGACGTCACTAGAACCGAACATCTCATTGAGAACACATGAGGAAATATTTTCTCATATGACGGAATAGGTACAAGTGACATCACACGTGACAAAATAAGCTTGACTAGCAAACACCGGCGCGCGCTTTCGCACAAAAAAATAACCAGTCTTAATTAATAATCCACTAACACCCACACACCAAGGCAGACATCTGAAAATGCCAACAGCAACCAGAGCAGGCGTGTATGGTGGTGGGGAGGGAAGTGAAGGCACGGATGACGTGTTCAGGCAGTAGTTCTGGCCAGCCTACCCAGCTAGGGCACCCATCCTAGCGTCAGCAATGTGTCTAGAAATAGACAAGAGTATCTGTCAAGGCAATCATGTCCTGGTGAGTCGGTTTGTGTCCAAGTTGGAACAAACAGCACCGGTGCCCATACCAACTCTACACAAGATGAGGGTATGCATCTATGACCACTAGTAGATGCGGAGCTCAGACGACGATATGACCAAGCAATCAACGACTGCGGTGACGATGAGGAAGATGAACTCATCAGTACATTAGTGAGTTAGAGCTCATGCTATGGTCAGATATATGATTTAGGGTTATTAGGGTTTTTGTGATCAGATATATTATTTAGGGTTATTAGGGTATATTTGTGGATCGGTCATAAACCCAGTTTAGGGTTTTGATCCGATTACGCACAGGCGCTAATTGACCAGATGTTAATCGAGTAATGCTCAATAAATAGCCAACGACTCACCTCTGATGAGGGGAGTACGTTGAGATATAGTTCTTGACGCGTATTTGCCACAATGCGTTCACGCTTGGGCGATCAGATAAATGAACCACCTCTTGCAAACTGCTCAAGACTCCAGAATTTCCTAAGATGCCTAAAGATAGTTACTTTAGAATGGAAAACTGTGAAGATATTATAAAGTTTAGAACAAAGTCGCTAGAAGTACATTGAAAATATGGAGAAGTCACTAAATGTACATTCACCCTTTTTCTCGATGAAAACGTACTGAAATATGGATCAAATATGTACAAATGTACATTTAGTGACAATTCCAATTTTTTTATGTGCATTTGGTGACTTTATCGTGCAAAATTTGCTTAAATATAAATTAAAGAGCCTTCGGCTCTATCCATTTTTTACGAATAAGTGTGTTGAGGGGGGGGTATGTTGTCTTTTATTAATGGTGGTGATATATGCTGCTTCATTCAAGATTATCTCACTGCCTGGTTCGCAACTCACGTGGCTTTTGCAGGAATATACGAGAATGGTGTTTCGGTAATCCATTTTATAATTCTGTTGTCATGTTGGACGTTTGTGACATATTCGTGCGAAGGCAATGCCTCCAAATCATACACGAGTTGTGGATTTTCTGATACTGCTCTAGCATAGGTACAAAGCAAATCCCCACGGCTAAAACTGTCGTGTTGGTTTATACCGCCTACTTTGGCTGTATGTAGCATTATCTGTGAGGTAACATTTCATCCATCGTACTATATAATTGAAATTTTCTTCAGCTCTAACAGGATTTGGCATACCATCTAAAATAGTATCTGTAGCGTTAGTTGTGTACAATGTAACAATCGCCAAGTTTCAAAGTAAGTTTCTATGATTCCATGGGATCAATACAAAGATCCTTTCGGACGCCTGTGGTGGTCCTTTAAGTCATAAGCTTTCTGCCGTACGATACTTTTATAAGTCCTTCATCCATACTCTGTGTAGTCAGGAGGTCCCTGGACAGGGTTTATTTGGGGATTAGGGTTTATTTAGTATTAGGGTTTATTTAGTATTTGGGTTTTAGAGACTATATTTTGAAACTGCGTTTATCCGTTCAGAGTAAATCTGAGTAGGAAAACACATGATCAAAATATAGTGTCAGGAATAGTTCAATAAATGAACAATGCCTCCCCCTGTACGAGGGGAGTACGTTGATATACAGTTATCTTTACGATTTACTACATTTTTAACTTACTTATAGGTTGGGCATTATTGAACATATCCTGAAGAGGAATAGATACTAGCGGGGGCCCATAGGACCCAGAGCAATAAAGTGAAATAAAAATTTTTAGTAGAAAAGGGGGGAAAGAGATGACTCAAACATTGACATCGACCACGGAAATGGTGTCCCAAGGAATAGAATTGCGAAGAGGAGACGGTACAGACAGTGGTTTCGTAAGCAGTGACACTAGTGACAGTATGCCAGCACTGTTAACAAACGAAAGCAGTGCATCAGAACCAGAAGAAGATAGGAGGACTCAGGAAATTGAGAGAAACACAAGACGAATGGGACTACATAACCGTAGACAGATGTTATACAATCGCAGTCATCACGCCCGATTGAATGCTAGGGTGATGTCACCAGAAAGCAAAAAGAGGAAGTCTGAAAGAAAGGTTTCACTGGAAACGACACCCAGAACTAATAGAATTAGGAGACAGGAAGTGTTGGGCCAAGATCAACAAAGACCAACACCAACATCGACATGGACACTTAGGGCAATTCCATCGTATCAATTTGGTTATACACCGGATTGGACGGCGATACATCCGCAGGACGTACACAGCGACAAAAGAAGAGTGCAGAAAATGTTTAGGTAGGTGTCTTCAGTTGAAAACAGCACCCAGTTGGGAAGCAATAGGAACATCGACAAGTTACGTAAAGAGGATGCACGCACTAGTGTGACAGTGAAGGTTGTTTTTAGTGTTGCCTACGTAGACCTGTATATAGAAAGTGCAGTCTAAACATGTTAAGTGGAAACGAGGAGTTAGAAGTAAGGTCATTAGGTAAGGCATGAGAGGTTAAGGGACACAAGAAGAACAAATAGGGCACTGCATACACACAACCACACAGCACATGATACAGGAAGTCAACATAGCAAAAGGATTTTGAGCACACGCTACGGCAACAGAACTAGATAGATAGAAGAGAACAGGGTCAAGTACACCAGAGATAAAGTCTTATGACACACACTACACACTATACAGAATATTAGATGCTAGCGCATCGACGGTTGCACATGCGCATGAAAGGTTCATAGAGTTTACAGACGCACACGTTATAACATAAGTGCGTGTAGGAGTAATGCCGACACAGGAGAAGTAAAACAGTGAGTAAGATATGTGTTAGTGAGAGTGAAAATGTTTTTGGTGTAGTGACATTGTGTGCGGTCGTGTAGGAGTATTGCCGACACAGGAGAAGTAAAACAGTGAGTAAGATATGTGTTAGTGAGAGTGAAAATGTTTTTGGTGTAGTGACATTGTGTGCGGTGAACACCCAGAGATTCTGAGGAGATTACGAGTCTTGCGTGTGAGAAGCGAACGAGGGTTCGTCAAACGGGGTAGAAGCGCAGTCTACCACCGTAATTGCGAAAAGGCTAGAGATGCGTAAGGGGTCCCGGGGTTTAAGAGAGTAAAAGCAGGCGCAGTAGTGAGATGGAGTAGTCATGGAGAGAATACGGAGCCACATCAAGGGAGTAAGCGCACGTAAGTCGTGAGTCCGGGGCATCTACAAGAATGAATAGTACTTGTTACGATAATGGGGGCAGACAAGGAGCAAGAACGATCAAGACGAACAACATCGAAGTAATAAGGCCGCGATACAAGAATATATCACATGAATGAGATTGGTTGTGTGATCACACAACTTAGAAGATGGGATCATGGGGACGTCGAGTATTTAAGACAGAGGAATAAGTCCCCCAACAGCACATTGTTTATCGCGAACATAAAACAATAAGCTACGATTGAGTATGGCCAACACACGACAAAGCCGTCGACAGCAGCAGCTCTCCCCGGAGCAGCGTGAATGCGAGGAGATCCATCAGCGCGAATGTACAGGACGTCCGAACAACCTTAACGAGGAACACCAGACTAATCAGTCGGTACTTCAACGTACATTGATGGCACAACAGAATCGTACTGAGAGAATTGCTACACCTAGTGATGTAGACTTTACGGAACAAGGGTTGGGGACCCCCGAGGCAATGGGAGCCGCACGTTTGGCAACACATAACCATCTGCAGGCTACGGCGACAGTGAGAGAGGGTGTAAACAACACAACGGACAGACGTCATCGTAATCGCCCCAGAGGAACGAGACAGAGCCGAGATCGAGAGAACGACACTCCAGAACAGCTGACGAGACTCCTCCGCCGTCAACAATCGTTGTTAGAGAAGTATAACCGACGTCTACAGCGCCTACGACGATCTACCACACCTCAGACATCCGACAACTTAGAGTTTCGCATCCGAGGGGCAGACAGGTCGCGACGGGGATTAGGTTATACATCGTCGGACCAGGAGGGAAGTGAGGCGCCGCATAACGAAGTATCGCTACATGACTTTGTACAAGAACAACACCGGGCTCAGAAGAACCCTCATGGTAGAGAAGCATTGGACAACCGTCGCGATAACATGGAGACATCGTTGCACACACGACGACAAGGCTGCCAATTCAAGCAAGAGGCGCTCAGCGACATGCTACCGGCACAATGAATGCTTGAACGTACCCCGTCGAGTCAAGCGGTATCGGCAGATAAGCGTAGAAGACTCGACCAGCAGTATACACCCCCAACACCGGAAAGTATAGCAGCCGATCGTCAGGCTTTACACGCACGAATGCTTAAACTATCGGAAGAACTATGTAGTGCGGTAGAGGCTAAAAACTTACCACGTGCAGAGGCACTACGAGGCGTGCTCGAGACACTACGGGCAACACATGATTCTCATCCAACGAACAAACAGGAGCCACGAGAACCTCGTAGCTGGCCTGAATGGCCTTCTAACCGATACAACCTTAGCAACATCATGGAGCGCGATACAAAAGGGGCTTTGCGAGAGACCCTTAAGAACGCGCAGATATCGGAGTTGGATGAAGCGTGCAGTCTTCGTTGGTTCTACAAAGTGTTGAGTCATTTAAAAGCTGAACAATCCACACTTGATTACTTTAAATCCAATCATCAACGTCTAGTGGCGTGGACTCTCGAGTTGCAGATTACGCAAATTTGTTCACATGAGACTCAGGCGACGGTCGACCCGACCTTTCGTAGGTTAGCGAAGGGACATCTCAAGCTCAGCAACGTCCCAGTAATGGAACAGATGACTTATCTAATGGAGAACCACCGTCGAGCACATGAGCGTTGTCAAACAGATGCCAAGTTCAAGCAGAACTTACTGAACCATTGCATCGTTCAACTCTTGGAGGATACTCTTGGCTCGCGTACAAATGAGCGGACCTTGCAGTTGCACCCTAAATAGCAACTGATGGAAACCCACGAGTTACTACAGCTACTGAGCCCGGATATCCAAGAGGCACAGATACGTTCCACAAATCGTCTAACGAATCGTCGTGGTCACAATGGGGACACAGGCAGAAATGAGGAGACAGGTCGACTCAGCACCCATATAGGTCAACGTCAACACCAACAATGGCAACAACGGCCAACAGCGACGGCTACAGCAACCACGTGTAACGGCTGCCGGGCGCAAGGACCTTCAGGCCTCCGGCACATACCACGGTGCCACCGCTACAGGGCGGGTGCAGGACAATAGATCGCGATCGTCACATACCAATTTTCACAGCAGAGACATGCAGTCGTCGCAACGTACAACGCTACCGCAAGGGCAAGAACGCCACCAGTCGCAGTTTTCCAACAGGCAGCCAACGACAAACACGTCCATACCACAGGATAAAGTGGTCACATAAGAGGACGTCCCCAGTAACGACACCCAGTCTGCCACAGAGATACATATACATTCGATCTTGACGGAGGAAGCTGGACAAGGTGACAATTCCTATCCGACTACACCACAGTCGTCATGGACCCCGTACCCGGAGCAACTCTGAGACGTCAGGGTGACTGACGATGATGTAGCACTTACGCTGACACAGATATGGCAGGCAGCAATGGCGACCCAAGACCCCACTGCTGTCTTCCGATAACCTTGTCTACATCCAACTGCAAGTGAATGGACGTACATTCCGTGCGTTGGTGGACACCGGTGCCAACCGTAGCTGCATTACTCGGTCATCCACAGACCTTTGAGGACGACCAATTACACCAGTACCAACCGGTTCGTTCACATACTTAGCAAACGAGGCAGCCCGTACTCCTCGGCTGGGAACAACAGAGGTACTGCTGATACGTTGTGGTTCCGAGATTATCAACGGGTCGTTTGAACTGAGGAATCTATCCGACGCCTTTTATATCATACTTGGGCTCGATATGATGCCTAACCTAGGATTATACCGAGGAGGGATACAATCACCACTGACGCCTATCGACCCAACAGATCTCGACGACTTTCTCAAGCCAGTGGCTCGCCGCCAGGCCCCCGACATTACCGAACCAGACGGAGTGCGGGCACGACTTGCCACAGTTTTAGAAACGAACGCCGCTATTGAGGACAATGCACGTTGTCACTTAGAGGGGAGTGAGTTGGCGATACCAGTAACCCGCGAGCAAGCAATGAGCATGAGAAGGTCAACACGCAATTTCGTATCCGATCGATGGCTTCCGTACGTCGACGAACAAGTACAGAAATGGTTAAAAGACTTGGTGATCACGAAGCGTACGACACCGACGACGGTTAATCTTCCACTTCTAGCGGTTCCGACATTCGACAGTGAGGGCAGCGTTAAGAAGGTACGCGTCTGCCTAGATATGCGAGCGGTCAACGCACTGATACCAGGAGACCAGTTCTTGATACCGAAAGTGAATGAGATCATTTCTAGATTAAAGAGCAGGAATTACTATACTATACTCGACATATCGGCAGCATATCATAGACTCCCGATACATCCGGACTCTAGATATCTGCTCAGCTTCACACACGACAGTTACCAGTACTCGTTCACATCGGCACCATTCGGTTTACACGTGCTGACACAGCAATTTCAACGAACATTTAGTACGATACTCGATGGTTTGCCAGTCCACCACTACATCGACGACATAGTAATAGCCAGCGACGATTACGAGGAACACGTGGCTACATTGAAGGAGGTGATCAAGAGACTGACATACCATAGCTTCAAACTGAATCCGGCCAAGTCTCATTTCGCAATTGCGGAAGTTATGATACTGGGCAAGAAAGTCTCGGCGAAGGGGATTGATGTCGACTTTGAGAAACAGGCCAAACTTCTGGACTGGCCAACACCTCAGCGGTACAAGGACATTGCCTCAGCGTTGGGCCTGGATAATTGCTTGCACGAGCACCTACCCAATTTGGCACACGTGGTGGCGCCACTACGTGAATTCTGTAAGCTCAAACCAAACGAACTGATAGGGAACAGGTGGGAGCGACGGCATGCGGACGCTTGGCAAGCGATGAAGGATGCGATAGTGAACGCAGTAGCATTACACTTCCCGGTAGATATCGTCCCACTCAACCTCGAGACTGCCGCTAGTGACTACGGACTAGGGGGAGCGCTATTTCAGTGGGTGGAGAGCAAGAAACACTACCTCGTGTTCTTCAGTAAGACCCTCAATCACGCTCAGTAGAACTATGCAACGCCGATGAAGGAACTCCTGGCGTTCGTTTATGGTTTGACACACTTCCACGACTACCTCGACGGACAACACTTCGCGGTGTTTACGGATCACAAGGCTTTAGTATAAATGAACACCCAACTGAAGCTTAACCCTATGTTACAGCGTTGGCATCATATCATAGCGCCTTGTAATTTTACTATTTCGCATATACCGGGGGAGAAGAACGTACTGCCGGACATGCTCAGTCGGATACATGAAGGAACGGCGGAGACAGATGTACCAGAGGTGCTGTATGCAGACTGCTGGCAACTATTTCCCAGTTATTATGAACAGGCTCAACGTATCTTTGGCCATGACAATATAGACGTATTCGCAGCACCTCACAACGCTCAGCTGCTCAGGTTTTGTACTAAGAATGACTGCAATGGGGCGCTTGACCATGACTGGGCGCTGGTCGATGGATGGATGAACCCGCCATGGAAACTGATACGCCGCATGCTACGGAAGATCAAAACAGATTGAGCCACGGCAACGGTATGCCTACCTTGGACCCCTCGAGCACCATGATTGGACCTCTTCAAATCATTTCAGCAAGCCGAGCCCGTGGTAGTACTCCGAACCCCGCATACATTTCTAAAATATGCGAAGTATGCTTGCGGGAAGACTCCATGGGGCCATACGGTGGTGGCACG